TAAAAACCGTTAGTCACCAAACCTAAATGCCTGCTGGTCCTTACTAGGCTCCTACAATTATAGAAAGTGGACCGCCCACATTTCTTCCTGTTTTACATAATAAATAAAGAAAAAATAATAAAACAACAAAAAATAGATGCACAAAAATGCAACAATTAACCTATAAATTAAGTCTGTAAATAATACAAAAAATATATAAGTTTAGGAATTAACACAATTCAAATGGATAAAGAAATAAAGAATAAATAGCTCCAACAGAAGGTTTGGGAGAGGTAGATTTCTGCACAGTCTCTCTGGACATCAATTGATAAAGAAAAACATCTCCAACTTCTGTTTAATATGATTTTTTTCTCTCCATCAATCAATGAATCCTGGGGAGGTGAGTGTAGCGACAGAGTATCTTATTTCACCTCAACACCTGCTATGGCAGATCCAGGCCTCTATTGCTCCTGTGCTGTTATGATCATTGCTTCTCTGCTGTTCTCGAGCCCAGCCCTCTTTATCCATTGGTCTGGATTTAGTCACTTCAGCCACTTCAGCTATCTGTGGTTGATACATACCATGCAGGGGTTTTTCCTCAAATGATTGTTCCTTCATTTCCAGCTTCCAGCTGAGACATTCCCTGAGTGCTTCATCCTTTGGGGCCATCTTCCTGATGGATTCTAGGAGCGTGGATGTTTCATCTTTAATGGTGGCTCTGGTTCTCACTAGGCCTCTGCCTCCTTCTTTGTAGTTGGTTTAAAGCCTGGGGATAAGTTTTTGTGTTTTAACATCAGAGTCCTGAATTTCCTCCTTAGACCAACTTATCTCAGCAATGTATCCGATTACTGGTAAGGCATAGCCGTTGATTGCCTCGACCTTGTTCTGACTTGTCAGAACTTTCCTTACTCGCTGCAGGCATTTGGAGATATTTGTTCTACAATGGACATGAGAACAAATATATACATATTATCTGCTGCATATTTTTACCTATTATGTTACGGCTTTATACCACTCTTTATTTAATCAAAAATAGAATGGTAACAAATGTAAGTATTCACAGCCTTTGCATGAAACACATATTTTCTCTGATCTCAAGATGCGTTTGCAGCTGAATGGAGTCCACCTGTAGTAAACGCAGCTTCATGTTAGAGTGCAAATACAAAGGATAAAGTCAGAGGAACTTTTTTTTTTTGCTTAAGGTTACAACAAAGCAGAGACCTCCATCTTTGCCAAATGGAATAAGTTTGGAAATGGTGGGAATCTCACTGATCAGCCGTCTAAACTAAGCGATCGGAGGAGAAGGGCCTTGGTCAGAAAGGGCAATTAACAAGTCACTGTCCGTGCTTCAGCATTCCTCTGCGGAGAACCTTCCGTGGGACAATAATCTCTGCAGAACCTATCAAGCCTGTAAGGTGGAGTGGCTTTATAAACAGCAAAAGGTTCCTTAACCGATATAATGTATTTTGAATCCAGGCATCAATCTGTACAACTAGAGAGACTTCATGGATAAAAACAGGCAACAGATTGCTTCAGACTGGGGCGTAGACCCAAAGCACACAGACTAGATGTCAAAGGATGTCAAAAAACTTGTGAAATTGCCAGAATTTGGTGCTAAGCCTTTGGCATTACATGGCACATTGCTAAGGATATTTTTCAGAATAAAGTATTTAGTTTTATGTATGTAATTCAGAGTTTAGAACAGCCAAACAAGTAAAACTTGGATCTCCAAATATGTCTTACATTGCTTTGACTCAGAATAAACAGCCAGAATGTTGATTTATGGAGGCAATTACATTGAAGTGTTGATTTATTAATGCTTTTGCATTTGAGCCACTTACCAACTTTTTATTAGACGTATATGAGGATATTTTTTTAATATCCTCAGGATTAGCAGCAACTACCATCTAAAACTTCAATGAATGAAATGTTGTTTCAAGGTTAAACGCAAACAAATGCACTTCAACAAATGATACAACCGAAGCAGTCAGTGTGGCTGGAATGTGATAAATGTACTAAAATCTAAGACCTTTCAGGAGATTTATTGCAAGGAATAAGGTGGTTGAATTATTATTCATTTTCAATTTATTGTTGGATAATAAACCTGACAAAAAACAAAAATAGATCTAATCAGACGACATACAGCCTCTGAGTCTCAGACGTCTAAACAAAGATTAAATTAAACATGAAAAACACAAATAGTTATTCCTTCTAATATGCAGCAATCGTTAGTATTAAAGTCTTCTTTACTCAAGCATTGCACTTTGTGAGGACTAAACAAATCTTTGGTAAGCAGTTTGCTAATGTGTGCAAGGGATTTGATAGGACGTCTAATCCTTCCAGGAGAGGAAGTAAAGCTTCCCCTGTCCATCAGCACAGACCAGCTCACTGGGTTTTCTTGGGTTCAGCTCCAGAAACAGAACAGGACCGCCGCACACAAACATTCCCACCTGAATGACGATGATAAAAAAACAAAAAGGACAATAAAGACACAGATAATTGACTAAATACAGAGAATAAAACTGCACCTGAGAAGTTGAGTGGGTGTTATGATTCAGAGAGTCTATCCTGAAAAACAGATGCTTGCCTGTTTCTTGGTGTTTCTGTCCCACAGCTTCAGCGTGCGGTCATAGGAGGCGGAGATGATGACGCTGTCAGTGAGTTTCAGCTCACTGATCCTGTCCAGATGGACCTGAGGACAGAGTTATAAACAACTAATGATACTACTGTTTTCTCCTAATCAAACCCAAAATGACTATTTTAAAAGGATCAACTCCTTAGGACTTAAAGCATAATATAACAATCCGAATTAGTAAAAGATTGATAACCAAATGATGCTCTATATGTATGAGGAATTTTTTCGGCTGCTAAACACAAACAAACAAATATAAATATATACAGCATTTAATGAACTGTGAATTCACCCTAAATGCACCAAGGAGCGTTATCACAGATCCTTCTTCCCTGCAGCTGTTAAGACTTTATAACCAACACTGTTCCCAACAACCTCTACAAGTTCTTACATTCAGGCTGATTTTGCAGTTTCTATCTTAGTCAGTTAAATAACCTGCTGCTGTCATTTTGCACATCTCTGATGTTGCTGCTATTTTCAAATATCCATTACAGTAGAAAAGTCCATAGCTGGATATTGGTTATTAATTCTCCAGCTGCACAGTTTTATATTGTTAAATACTTTACAGTACAGTATTTTATTATTTATCTTTCAACTCTTCACAATTATGTTATTCTTATACATTTTTCTAAGGTGTAACTTTTTTTTTCTGTAATGTTTTTGCTGCTATAAACACCAGAATTTCCCCATTGTGGGAAAATAAAGGGATTTTCTATTCTATTCTAATTACAGATACTATTTGTAAAGTGAGACACTATGGAAAATATTAGAAAAAAATAATAAGTATGAGATTAGATGTAAAAGTATTCATTTGCACATCTGCTGAGATGTTTTTTTTTTTTTTTTTTTGTCGCTAATCAGAAACTAAACTTTGTTGGAATCAAAGCTGCCCAGGAGCATCATTAGCCCAACACAGTATTTAATCTTTAAAAAACATTTATTACAGTAAATAATCCATAATCCTGTGATTATTTTATTCTCTCTTCAAACACAAAAGTAAAAAAATATATATTTAAAAGTGTTGATGGTGGTTAATCTCTTTCTCCATATATAAGGGGAATCTGAGGCCCCGTCCACACGAAGTNTGTGGACGGGGCCTGAAATCACAAATATTGCCTTTATCTGAAGACAAACTCTTTAAAACACTGTTATCCATCGCGGCTAGCTGGATTTCATGGATGTGTTTTAACTGAATTGGTGAGGTGTGACCAGCGGAGGAGGAAATTACTGGAAAGAAATGTCAGAGATGTTCTTCCAATGAGAAATATTAAGCATCCATTAGTTTCAGGTTCATCCAAAACTCCTGTTTTGGGTCACTTTTAGGTTAACTTTTAACCTACTTCCTTTGGATCTGTTTGTTGGATTGGATTGTTGGTCTTGGATCGTTTTGATGGCATTTACCACATTTACACTACCATCCCGAGCTCGGTTCCTTACGACCATTTGCACACCACGCCAGCACAGTTTCTCGCGTCCTAGTGGTGATCTACGGTACTACTGCTGTCTAGATGTTAATAAGCAAACCATCATGCCCGTGCCTGTAACGTTCAGGAAGTGGGGTTATGATTGTGATATGTCATTGTTTGTGGAGAGTTAGGCAAAGAAGGCAGCGTTTGGTGAATTTGCTTGACAGAGTTGGCTTTTGGGAAGTGGATACGACAAACGATAGTCTAATCAGGGCTTACAGACGCAGGGAACAACAACAGACGTTGGGGTTCATCAAACTGCTAAGCTGAATCATCACTGGAAATCATGTGGCATGGTAGGGAAGCTAGGTAGGGAAGCTGGTATTTTTATGAATGTCTGAAATTTCATGATTACGGAGGATGACTGTAAGGAGATGACGAGGTCTGCTTTGTGCTCTTTGTTATCTGAGAACTGAGCCAGAACTGAAACTGCCCTGTATTTATTTTTTTATTTTTTCCTACTTGCTTGGATTCTGTTTTATCTTCCTGTGTTTTAATCATGTAAAGCACTTTGCATTGTCTTTGTACTGAATTGCGCTATACAAATAAATTTGCCTTGCCCTACTGATGAACTACCATTTAGACTCAACAGTTATCTTGGTTACCGTGCTCGGACAGTTTTCGACATGGTTTCAAAAAGGTTGGGTGAATGGGGCAATTGCCTTCTTTGGCCATCTTTTAGGTATTTTTCTTATTTCAGTTAATAATTGTGAAATGTTTAAAGAGTTGTATAAAATGTTTCTTTGACTATGGTTTTGGGCATCTCAAACTAGAAGTAAGCCCAGTTGGTAAGCGCTGCCCTCTGTAACCCTACGTAACTTCTCTGGTCTGAATAAGATTACAATTTATGTCAAAATCTGTTGCCATGTCTCATGGTTATTTAATCCATATACATTATGAAGTGTTATTTAAAGAGTTTGTCCTGACTGATCTCTTTTCAGGGAATGAACTTTAGAGAGAAAGCTTCCGGGTGTTAAACACAGAGCATTTCTTAACAAATAACAGATTTTTTTGTAGCCCTTACAGGTTTTCTTTTGCTCCATGATGAAATGTCTGGATGTTGATTGAACCACATGTTGCCTTCATCATCTCCACACACCACAAACTCTGAAAAACAGAAGCATCACATTAAAGCTACCAAAGTAGTTTAATAACAGCATCGAACGCTATGAATTCAATAATAACATTGTTATAACTGGTCAAACTTGTAATCCATGAAGGACTGAAACAATGAATCAGATTAATCGCAGTTAATAGATTATTGGAATAATCTTAAACTAATGTAGTAGTCATTAACTGGAGTATAGAAACTCTCAAACATGTATTTGGGTCACAGAGAAACCCACTTAGAGCAGTAATTATACCAAAATTGTAAAAAAAAAAATATCTAAACATTTGGTATTTAAGATTTTAAAAAATGTAATCTTCCAATATACTCTATCCAGAACTCCTCAAGTGGAAAAGTCTGAGTTTCATCTGGTTTAATTCTTCAATTTGCATATTAATCATTAGTTGCAGCCCTAAATCCATGAAAGTCACAGTTTGTTTTTTCTGCTTTAGTATAAAAACCACTCATTTCATGACAGCAGTGAAACACACAACCTTTAATATCTGTTGTGTTTGGTACCTTGATCCACTGTCATGGCTGTTATAGTGCTTTGTTTTTTCTCCACTTTTTCCTTCTCGTCACTGAACTTCATTGTCACTGAGCAGAAAGACGTCGCTATTTCAGTTGAGGAGCCCATGCCAAACTGAAATGAAAAGGAACCTTATGAATATTTAAGGAACACAGTTAATCATCTCACGCAATACATCTGGCTATTTATCATCTTTTGATAAATATGGTTCCTTGTGCACATTTTCAATATGTGATTTAAAAGAGGGTTGTTTGTCAGTTTTTGCCAACAGGCTCAATTGCTGTTACTATGAAAAGAAGGTCTCGTTAAACTTTCTTCTGGTTTGTAAACAACCTGACTTTTTTATTTAAGCAATTCAATTCAGTTTATTTCTATAGCACCAATTCACAACACATGTCATCACAAGGCACTTTACAGTTTACTAGATCATACCGTCAGATTGATTCAAAGTTTTCTATCTAAGGAAAACCAGTTGATTGCATCGACTCAATTCCTCATACTAAGCATGCTTGTAGCGACAGTGGAGAGGAAAAACTCCCTTTTAACAGGAAGAAACTTCCAGAAGAACCAGACTCAGTGTGGGCGGCTTTCTTCCGAGGCCGACTGGGTTCAGGGAAGACGGAAGCAGATATAGAGGAGGAAGCTGAGATACAAAAAGCAGCTGTAAAAGGCGGCCCTGTCCAGGAAACACACAGCCAGACAGACAAGCTCCGAGCCAGCACCCATGTCAGAGGATGAAGAGAGCACATCCAGCCAGTCACGGTCAGAGAAACAGGACTACACTGGAAAACAGGGCAACCAAGGTGTAGATGGCAGCAGCACAGTTGATATTTCTCCCAAGGATGGAGTCACAGCCAAACATAAACCAGCATTTAGACGTAACCTAAGATGAAGGCTGTCAGACTGAATAGAGTCAAATGGAGACAGTAGACATTCAAACACAGCAGGAACAGTTTTTCTGTAGCCATAAACTACAATATCATCAGCATATAAATGTGGAAAAACGTTTTTAACAACATTGTTTACATACATTAAAATCAGCTTTGGACCTAATATGGAGCCCTGTGGCGCACCTTTAATAACCGCTGTGTTAAACAGTGTCTAATGCCTTAGACAGGTTAATAAAAAGTACAACAAAGTAGTGATTTGTATCCAAGGCTTCAATAATATCATTTACAACTTTTGCAGTAGCTGTGACTGTGTAATGTACTTCCTTGTGAAAACAGTGTGATGACATAAAAAGATATGAACCATCTTTATTTGTTTTTCAAAAACCGGCTTAAATACAAAGGTCTGAGAGCACATGAGGAACACAATGCAGCACAATGAGCACAATGGCAGCACACTGCTCCCCAAGGGGATGGGTTAAATGCAGAGGTGAATTCTTCCAGTGTGAGATCAGTAAAGTTCAATTATTTATTATTATTAACAACTCTGGCTCCTAAATTGTGGAATGAGCCATTTCCAAACATTAGGAAGGCCTAATTTCTTTCTGTTTTAAAAACTGTAAAAAAGAAAAAACAACAATTAATTGCTTTGGATTTCAACTCAAAGTGATTTGACATCTGTGTCCTAATAGTGGATTTGTTCATTGTTTTTGAGATATTATGATTTCTATTTTTGTATACTTGTTTTACTATTTTATTGTTCTTTTTTTTGCATATTTGAACTGCACTTCTCTCAGCTTTCATGTTATAATTTAAGTGCTTTAGAAATAAACATAGTAGGGTTTGGCATTGTTTCTTCGATCATGAGCCATGGACATTTCAAAGGATAAAATGTTCAAATAGAATTTCTTTTTAAAGTGTAGAATATTATCCCTTTGTTTTTTTTTGTAGAATAACACATTAAATAAAAATGTAAAACTTCTGAAATTAATTCACTTTCATTTAATTCTAAATGCTTGAATATCTTTTAACCAAAATGCATTGTATATAATTGTAGAATGGCATGAAAAAAAAACTCACAAAAAAGCCAAGGCTACCATCTTCGCCGCCTTCGCCAGTCAACCACACACTTTTTTCATCATTGCGAACCACACTCAGAACATTGACGCTCTGACTCCAGCTGCAAACAAGAGACATGTTTAGGTATCAACGCACCGTATGAAACAGCGATAAAATCACATAACAGCAAGAAAACGTGTCTCTCAGAGTCGCCTGAATCCTCTCCTAGAATCAATGAGTGAGAAAACAGAACATTTACACTGAGCAGGAACTCCCCCACTGGTCTTGGTCTTCACTGGTCACATCACACATATGTCCCAGGTTGGTGACGCCGATCAGCATGGAGCTGTAGAAGAGGCGTATCGTCGGGTGGATCTGTTTGTGGCTCTTCACCTTCACCAGGCTGGAAGCAACAGAATATCAGAACTAAGGTTTACTAATAAACCTTAGATTATCAAAGCAGTTTCAGACACAATCTTGATCTGTTGATTGATGATATTTCTTGGAATCATAAAAACTTCCTGTAGCACAGAAAGTGTTTTTTTTTGTTTTGTTTACCAAGCTTTGCTGTATTGTTGATTCCACACCATCTTCCACACATCAACAACCATGGTGTTCATGTAGGTGACAGCGAACTGACTGTCAGGCATGGAACAGGCGGCTGTGATGGGGCCGTCGGATACCTGAAACAGAAACCATCCCAGAACATAACCAATTGATACAGCTACAAAACATATCACCATTTTAATAACAAGTGTGGGCAATGTTCATATTTCAAATGGCTATTGGAGTGCGATACGTATTTCCTAATTTATTCCAAGCGATATTCTCCATGCTAATGCAATATTTAGTTAGTTGGACAGAGTCTTGGTAGACATGCTGGAAATACTAAAATGTTAGAGTGATGGAAGCACAGATGGGGAAGATTTCTGATAATCTGCAGCTCTAATTCAATGTTTACACTGGAAAAACCATCTAGAAATAAGTGAAAATTTCTTAAATTAAGTGTATTTACCCTTAATTTGAGCAGGTAAATAAGATTATTTGAAAATGGAATGAGTATTTTTACTCTTGAAACAAGATAATAAGATCATATGCACTTGAAATAAAACAATGTAATTGTGTTTTCTTATTTTAAATGTAAATTGTCTTGCTCCATTGGCAAAATGTCTCTTACGTCCTCAATTCAAGAACAAATACAGTTATTCTAAGAAAATAATGACTTATTTAGATTTAGATTTTTTCCAGTGTAAACTAAGATGAATGGCTCTAGATGTTTAGCTTTACATGGGACAGTAATTTACTACTAGAACAGAAGCTGGAAGAAACATAAAAACTATTTTAACCTGCTTATGCTCAACCACCGAGTTATTCTGCCACAGCTCCAGCAAACCAGACTCGTAGCCAACCAGCAGGAAGTCCCCATCCTTGGAGAAGCACAGGGCTGAGATGGGGCCTTTCAGGTTGGCAGCAGTATCTGCAGACACCAGACAGAATCGGCCTGGTATTGATCAGATCAGCAGACTGAAGCAGTTTGATTTCTGTTACAGTTAAATCCAGCACTTAATTACCTAAACTTAATCATAGGTCTCTAAATTTCAATCAATACAGTAAACAACTTCATTTGCATTTGGTCATTGTTGTCAACACACATTTGCACATTTCTGATACATTTCATACTCAGATTTCTAATTTGTTCTTATAAATTTGTGATTCGTACTGATTAATTAGCAATTTCTACTTGCAAATTTGTAATTTTTAAGAACTTGTGATTTGTTCTCATAGTAGTTTTTTCTCATAGTTCTCATTAGCACTTGTTAACCTGTGATTCATTCTAATAAATTTGTGAAGGTATTCATAAATTTGCAATATGTGCTCAGATATGTGACTTGTTTTCAGCTTTTTAAAGAAAATTGATCTTTTAATTTGCAATTGGTTCTCATTGATTTGAGATTCTTTCTTATAAATTTGCTATTTGTTCTTATAAATTTGTGATTTTTTCTTATAAATTTGTCATTCTTTCTCATAAAGTTGAGATTTGTACTTGTAATGTTTCAAAGTTTAAATCTTGTACCTTGTATTTGTAACTT